AATGCACTAACAATGAAAAAGTCATAAGGTGACTTTCCACCTTGACTGGTGAAGGATATCTTTGGTGCCCTTCTGTACATAATATTTCAGGCACAGACAGGCACAAAGGTATAACAACCACCATTCTATGATATAGATGGAAAGCTTCCCCACAGTCTTTTGTCCCTGTCCCTGGAGGCACTAGAACCCACAGTGGTGAGCAGCTAGTGGTTTCAAGTCAATAACCTCAACCACTAAGCCATGGGCACCCACTATCGCTGTCAATAATCTTTGTATATTCCTGCCATGCCAATTCCATTCATCTGTCACATTTTCAAAACACAGGTACACAACATATTTTGACTGAATTATACTCATCCAAAAGCTGTAAGACAAGCTTTATCTTGAAAAATTTGATAAATCATTAATATTATTGTATAGTTAATCAATATAATAAATAAATATTATAACAATTAATAGCAATAAAATATAATCCTCTGTTACTTATGATGTTTATAAATCAATCATAATTAGTTGGTATTTCATTACAAATCTTTAGCTTGTGAATGAGTATAATAATATACTTATTAAGCTGCAACAAGTGAAAGGAAATAAAAAATTGTTCTGAATTAGAAATTACCTGTTACTAGCATCTGTTAGTTACTGAGACATACAATAAGGTACCAAGCATTACAGATAATTCAAGGTTTAAAGATCCAAAAGAATTTTGGAGACATAAAAATACCCCAAAGGAACAGGATGGAACAGAATTACCAAGGTTCAAGATTTTTGAAATAGGTTTGAGTACCAGTCTTAAAATTGAACTCATTCATTAGTCAATTTTGAATTTCAAATTCAAAATCGGCCAGTCAGGTTCAAGTATTTGAAACTGGTCTATTAAAATCAATAGGAGGGTTATCTTTTTTTTCTATCTAAAGATCCACTGTCAATTGTACTGTCTTATTACAGTTAACATTTCTGAAAGCACTGTTAGAACTTTTACCAATGTGGTCATACTAGGCATCAGGACCCTATAGCCATCTGACAGATACATTACCCTATATTTAGGCATTTAGTGCCTAAAATAACTACATTCTATTTGTTTCCATACTTACTAGCTCAAACTGTATTCATATAATTATGAAATAAAAATAGCTTGTACAGTGTTTTTAGAAAACATTGTTTAATAAATATTAACTGTTATCAACAAATATGGATTTATTTGAGTATTAAATTTTCACATTGGACTATTTGGACCTTGTCTTTAATTCAAGTTGCAAAAAAACTGGTCATTTTCATGAAGGATGAAATATGTATTTAAACATTAAAGTTTCAATCTTTCTTATTTTGATAAGACCACTTATACAGTATTTCAGTCATATTTCAATATTCCAAGACTATCTAGCAAAAATCCTTTTTTTTCAACCCATGTAACTGCCAATTTTTACATATCAATTATGTGAAACAGTTATTGAGAACAAATACCACTAGATATACATGTATATTGTCATGAACCAAATCCTCACTGAGTTGATTGCCACATAATAGGACTCAAACTAGTAAATTTTAGCTCTGTAGATTGAAAACTGCCTAATAATCTAAACTGTGGCAGAGCTTGCATTATTCGATCTAATATCGTCAATAAAAAGATTGATAACATTATGAGTGCAAAATTTAAGCTCTTTTATCTTGACAGACTGCATTAGACAAATTAAACTTTTTCTCTGGACTCAGTACATGTATAGGTGAGCACTAGCAAGCTGTATGGGTCAGTTTAACAATAAATAATAAATACATTGTTTGTTTGTTTCATTTTACGCCTTTTCCCAACAGTATTTCAGTCATATAGGCAGGTAGTTTCCTAACCATCGTTCCTGGAGAGTTACACCAGTACTAAGACTACCTTCCTCCGTGCTAAACTACCAAAGCATCTCCCGCGGATCGAACCCACGCCAGAGAGGTAACTGGATTAGAAGTCATCGACTCTAACCCCTCGACCACAGAGGCGGTTAATAAATACATAGGAATATATGCACATATATATGAAATGATTAAGTGAAAGGGATATGGGTCTTTAACATTTGATAATATACATTAAGCAAACATTGTAATAGGATATGTGAAGTGGGTAATGTAAAATAATGTGGGAAAATATCCAAATATTGTGAATGTTATATGAACAATTATAAAAGGGAAATGAAATTAAACTTAGGACTAGCTTACCACAAGAACTAGATCTGACAGGTTTTGTTTCTACAGATGATATTAAAAACATGTATAAATATCATTCTGTATTTGGTCATAAATTCATTGTAATTATAAAAACCAATTAAAAAATTGCAAAGATATTGTAGAAGAAGAAAATTTTCACAATAGAAAAGGTTTCATAAAGATAAGACCTGTTTTAAAGACATAAAAGACATAAATTTCCTTTACAATAAAGATAGATGTGATTTATAGACATAAATTTTATCAGTCTATTATAGACATATTTTACTATTGGATATATTATTAAAAAAGGTGTTATTTATAATGTATTTCGAACCTTGAAATCAGTCTACTTTTTAAGCCATTAAATATATTATCTGAATATACTAAATGAAAAATAAATATAGACCTAAATTATAGACATAGCAGACAGGAGCTTTATCAATCTTTGAAATTAATCTGTTTCAGAGATTTAATAAAAGTGATGTTTATCCTGTCATGTATTAATAGATATAACAAATTTATAGACATAATTTTAGACATTTAAGACATTAATGATAGAAATTATAGATATAATAATTATAGAAACACAACACTTGACATTAAAAGGAATTAAAGATTAAAAAAGATTTTTAAACAAGGTTTTTAACAATTGAATATACACTCATTTATTAAGAAATAACTTATTTTTGTTAAGCTACATAATTAATAATCACATACTTTACTAAAATTAAAGGAAGCACAAAAAGTCAGTTTTGTTATCATATTCACCAAAGCAAAATTAGGCCAAGGAATGACAATATGCATATGTAAAACATATTATGGCCCAGCAATAACAATAAATGTATGCATATAGAAAACATATGAAGGTCCAGAAATTACAGTAAGCATATGTGAAACATATTAGGGCCCAGAAATGAAAATATGCATATGTAAAACATATCAAGGCCCAGCGAAAGCATATTCAAAATACCCACCAATGGCTGAATAGGCATCTCATAAGTTTTCATAGTAGCCGGAGTCTTTGCCTTCTGACTAGATGCAGCAGACGTGGTACGGGTCTTGCCAGACGTTGTCCTGCTCATACCCAAACTTCCTACAGATTGTGGGTGGGGTGGTATCACAGGCATTCTAGCCATTGTTTCACTGACAGACTCGTAGTTCTTGGTTACCAGGTCCAGCTTTACTCCAGCTAATGTAGGTGCTACTTCTAAAAATAAATAAATGTACATGTACTTCATATTTTCACTTCACTTCACAGCACCTCCATGTTAGTAATTTAGTTATACATTTGTAATACAGTGCCAAAAATAAGGTTTTCTGTTGTTTTTTTCTCTCTTTCATTTAGTAACCATGGTCTCCATGGGATCAATATCTTATGATGTTGCCATAGCAATCATACTTCAGAATATTGCCATGGCAACATCATAATGAATGTTTGTCATTGTGACATTCTAATGTACAGTTGCCATAACAATATTAAACTAGAAGACAAAAATCTGAACTTGTCTGTCTTAGCAACCCTATCTTTAAGATTTTGCCATGACAACCATGTTTTCAGATTTTGCCATGGCAAAATCTTAAGATATGGTTGCCATGGCAAAATCTTGTCTTAAGATTTTGCTATGGCAACCTTATTATAGAATTTTACATTAGGATGATATTATTACCTGGGGTACAGGGTGGTTTATTTTTATCCTCAGGGTGGTGAAGTAGGACCATTCTATTCTTCACAGGGGATGGGTCAAGGGTCAACTGTGCTGCTGGTGGGATAAGACCTCTCTCTATCAAACTGAGAATACCCTTCCTGGCATCATCCTCTGTGATAGGAGGTGGGGCAAGCTGAAATATAATGAAAAATGCTTTTTAAGACATGTCTCATTGAAGGTTCTATAAAGTAAGAGAGTCATCAAAAGAACATAATGGGTATAAATAGAAACCGAAAGCTGGTCAACAATAAGGAATCTATAGAGTTTTATCATTTTTATTTTAAAAATCAGACTAATTTACAACAAAACTTGCGAATACACTGCAAAATTTCAGACAATGGTCCAACAACTAAGTAATATTATAGCATTTCACTGGCTAAAGTTGTCTATCTGTTTTTAATTTATCATTCTCTTTTAACAGGGAAAGCAATATCCTTAATTTCTAATCTGGTTTACTTTGGTTATCACACTTTTCAATTAACTGTTTCCGTCTTTGGTATATGTAGACTAACTTTGCATTTAGATTGACCTTTGTATCATGTTTCCACTCAACATTACTACAGTATTTAATCCTTAACTTTCAACTTCCTGAATTTCTTAGATGGACTTGTCCAGCTTCTATTTTGGAACTATCCATTATCATTTTTTGGGATAACTAGATGAATATTTCATGTTTGTCTGAGCCAAAAGTATAGAACCTAGTTAAATCGCAATGATGAGCAGGCTAGCTTGGCTCTTTACTGGCAACAAAGGTTTACCCCTTTTGGTTCGTGCAGGTCCAATATTTATCAGCTGAAACCTTAAGTTATTAGCTTTTGCCATCAATGAACGGCTCAATTTTTGCATTTCTATATTGAAATCCCTAAATTTTTGCCTGGACTGTTCAATATATTAAAACAAGAGCCCGGTTTGAGCCGGGTGATGCTCCCCGAATAGGTTTTGGACACAGGAAAGTACACCTCTTGTAGTTTCAGAGTTATGTCCCTGGAAAAAGTTCAAAGTGCAATAATTCCAAAATTAGGAAAGGCAGAGTTACTGTTCTTTGCACTGCACTTCTAATCACTGTTATCTATCAACTTACAAAGTTTCTTGTTGATATCTCTTATGGTTTCCGAGTTATGTTCCGGACAACTTCAAAAAGCAAAAATAAACAAATGGCAATAACTCCAGAATTAGGCAAGGCAGAGTTATGATTCTCGTGCACTGCACATCTACCCATTGAGATACATCTACCTACAAAGTTTCATGTTGATATCTCTTATAGTTTTATAGCTATGTCCAGTACAAGATTTTTCTAAAAGGGGAGATAATTCAAAAATGAGGCTTAACAGAGTTATGGTTTTTTTGCACTGCACTTCTACTCAATGAGATCTATCTACCTACAATGTTTCATCTTGATATCTCTTATAATTTTAGAGTTATGTTCCGGACAAAATTCAGTGTTAAAATTAACAAAGGGCAATAACTCCAAAATTAGGACAAAAAAAGTTATTGTTCTTATGCACTGCACATCTACCCATTGAGATCTATTCACCTACAAAGTTTCATGTTGATATCTCTTATAGTTTTAGAGTTATGCCCCAGACAAGATTTTTCTATAAGGGGAGATAATTCAAAAATGAGGCTTAACAGAGTTATGGTTCTTTTGCACTGCACTTCTACTCAATGAGATCTATCTACCTACAATGTTTCATCTTGATATCTCTTATAGTTTTATAGTTATGTTCCGGACAAAGTTCAAAGTGTTGAAATTAACAAAGGGCAAGAACTCCAAAATTAGGACAAAAAGAGTTATTGTTCTTATGCACTGCACATCTACCCACTGAGATCTATCCACCTACAAAGTTTCATGTTGATATCTCTTATAGTTTTAGAGTTATGCCCCGGACAAGATTTTTCTATAAGGGAGATAATTCAAAAATGAGGCTTAACAGAGTTATGGTTCTTTTACACTGCACTTCTACTCAATGAGATCTATCTACCTACAATGTTTCATCTTGATATCTCTTATAGTTTTATAGTTATGTTCCAGACAAAGTTCAAAATGTTGAACTTAACAAAGGGCAAGAACTCCAAAATTAGGACAAAAAGAGTTATTGTTCTTATGAACTGCACATCTACCCACTGAGATCTATTAACCTACAAAGTTTCATGTTGATATCTCTTATAGTTTTAGAGTTATGCCCCGGACAAGATTTTTCTATAAGGGGAGATAATTCAAAAATGAGGCTTAACAGAGTTATGGTTCTTTTGCACTGCACTTCTACTCAATGAGATCTATCTACCTACATTGTTTCATCTTGATATCTCTTATAATTTTAGAGTTATGTTCCGGACAAAGTTCAAAGTGTTGAAATTAACAAAGGGCAATAACTCCAAAATAAGGACAAAAAGAATTATTGTTCTTATGCACTGCACATCTACCCATTGAGATCTATTCACCTACAAAGTTTCATGTTTATATCTCTTATAGTTTTACAGTTATGCCCCAGACAAGATTTTTCTATAAGGGGAGATAATTCAAAAACCGGGCAAATAGAGTTATGGTTCTTTGACACTGCACTCCCCCTCAATGCCCTCTACCACTGTATGAAGTTTAAACAAATGATCTCCAAGGGTTTTCAAGTTATGCTCCGGACAAGAAAATGGACGGACAGACGGACGGACGGACAGACGGACAAGGCGCCGACTATATGCTCCCCCGAAATTTTTCGGGGAGCATAAAAAACAAGTCCATTTCACAAATTCAGCAAGTTAAGGGTTAAGACATACCTGTGCATCCACCCTGTTGGCCTTTGGCAAGACAGCTAGAGGCTCTATTGTACTGCCCATGATTGGCTTAGGAGGTGGCTGAAATGTAAGAGTCATGTGTTCAAACCTCTATGGATAACACAATTTATGTGGTTCAACAAGATATTCTGTCGATAAAAAATGTATAAATATATCTTTTTTACATTAAATAATTTTGAAAGAATTTCTTAAAGGACATCTATAGATAATTTATTTTCACATATACAATTTTTTTCTTCAATGAAAATTATTAATGTTTCATTTTCACTTGTATACTAAAATTTAACAAGGGTGTTTGCCCTTATTAACTTATATTTTTATCTATAACTTAAGAGGTTTAAAAAAACAATATGACATAACAATATCTTTGCAACTCAAAACGCTAAGATTTTGACATTACTTCAAATTTCAATCATTTCAAAATTTCAATATTTTCAAGTTTATATGGTTTCAAGTTTATATGGCAAAACAACACTTTCAAGTTCATATGGCAAAACCTTACTTTGAAATTCACTAGTATTATAAGTTAAAATAGGCAGGAGGCATTTTATTATATAAAAAGAATTTACAGCCATTTATCACATCTGCTAAAAGAACACGTGCACACACAGTAACCCTGTATACCATACACTGTTTTAATACAAATGCTTTCAAACACATGTTTTAATACAAACAATGCTGTCACATATCACTTTAATTTTCAAATAATTAGTTGATCTGTTTAACATTTTAAAAAGCCTTTTTTCACCATTCTTTTATTAATCATTTTAATCAAAAGCCAAGAAATGAAAATCAAGTCAACCACACATACAGTGCCACAAAAATAACCTTAAATTACATTATTAAAGCATATGAATGGTGAGCTAATTTGACTTCACTGGTCTGTTTATAAATGAATAATTAAGAAATATTTCATGTCTTGCAAAATATCACATAAATATTTTGGAATTTCTACATTAAAAAAAACCGCAACGATATACAAATATTTTTTCTGTCATTTTCTATCAATGGAATGCAATGGATCAAATTCATGAAATCAGATTATAACTTAATGTAAATGATTTGCCTCCTTGAAAAATGGTCACAAATTCTGCAAAAAATTGTTTTTCTCATTAAAATTATATCCTTACAGACACTCCAAAACCTAATTCAATGTAGTGTATAGAGTAGTGGAGCAAAAATGAAGAATAAACAGAATGCTAAATTTTGCTTTGCTTCAAAAACAGTCACATACAACCCACATCAACAAGAAAAGTTAAAATTTTTATCCATATACCCTGAACATCATATCATATATAGCAAAAATACACAGCAATCAATTTGTTTTTGCAAACATACATTCAGCTGACCCATAGAATATTAAAATTTGACTTCTATGTTTGTATATGTTATATTTTTATATTGTTTGAGGAAATATGTCATTATACAGGTAATAACAACTGTTCTGCTTAACTGCAGGTAAAAGACCAAGAATTTTCTTCAAGGTAGCCTGAACCAGCAAAAAAATATTCCAGTTTTTGGAAGGCACCTCCTGGCAATTCTGGATCACCTCTATGGACCTTTGGACTAAAGATGATACATCATAAAATTATGTTCTTTATGACCAAAAATTTATCAATATTTTACTATACCCATAAAATCAAACCCTTTTTGTTAAAATCTTAACCACAATTAATGGTTGCCTTTTTTGGCAGTCATCTTTGAAATGGTTCACTCTGTACATGACCTGTAATATTAATCAAGCAATGTGTTATTGTCTAAAAAAACATTAATTAAATTTAGAAACAAGGGAGATTACTCTATGGCTCAGCTGTTACATACATTGTACATTTATAAATGAACAAGTACCACAGGTAAACGTAGATCTCGCTGGGAAGACTTCTGAAAACATCAAATACAAAAACAATCTTCTTTATCCCTCAATTATCTTGATCACCTAAATCCAACTTATGAAAATTTATTTTATTAAATCATTAAAATACACAGTCATCATATTCTGTTTAGGAAAGAATACACAGTTCATATTCGGTGCAATTAACTATTCTCCTATTGTTTAGAACAGTGTTCAAAATTTAATTATAGAACATTTAACCTTGTTGCTATGGCAAGAAAGCATTAAGAATTCATTTATAGAACAATAAACCTTGTTGCTATGGCAAGAAAGCATTAAAAATTCATTTATAGAACAATTCACCTTGTTGCTATGGCAAGAAAGCATTAAAAAATCATTTATAGAACAATAAACCTTGTTGCTATGGCAAGAAAGCATTTAGATTTAATTTATAGAACAATTAACCTTGTTGTTATGGCAAGAAAGCATTAAAAATTCATTTATAGAACAATAAACCTTCTTGCTATGTCAAGAAAGCATTTAGAATTCATTTATAGAACAATTAACCTTGTTGCTACAGCAAGAAAGTATTAAAAATTCATTTATAGAACAATTTACCTTGTTGCTACGGCAAGAAAGCATTAAAAATTAATTTATAGAACAATAAACCTTGTTGCTATGGCTAGAAAGCATTTAGAATTCATTTATAGAACAATTAACCTTGTTGCTATGGCAAGAAAGCATTTAGAATTCATTTATAAAACACTTAACCTTGTTGCTACGGCAAGAAAGCATTAAAAATTCATTTATAGAACAATTTACCTTGTTGCTACGGCAAGAAAGCATTAAAAATTCATTTATAGAACAATAAACCTTGTTGCTACTGCAAGAAAGCATTTAGAATTCATTTATAGAACAATTAACCTTGTTGCTATGGCTAGAAAGCATTTAAAATTCATTTATAGAACAATTAACCTTGTTGCTATGGCAAGAAAGCATTTAGAATTCATTTATAGAACACTTAACCTTGTTGCTATGGCAAGAAAGCATTTAAAATTCATTTATAGAACAATTTACCTTGTTGCTATGGCAAGAAAGCATTAAAAATTCATTTATAGAGCAATTAACCTTGTTGCTATGGCAAGAGAGCATTAAAAATTCATTTAAAGAACAATTAACCTTGTTGCTATGGCAAGAAAGCATTAAAAATTCATTTATAGAACAATTAACCTTGTTGCTATGGCAAGAAAGCGTTAAAATTCATTTAAAGAACAATAAACCTTGTTGCTACGGCAATAAATGGTTAAAAATTCATTTATAGAACAATAATCCTTGTTGCTACGGCAAGAAATGGTTAAAAATTCATTTAAAGAACAATTAACCTTGTTGCTACGGCAATAAATGGTTAAAAATTCATTAATAGAACAATAAACCTTGTTGCTATGGCAAGAAAGCATTCAAAATTCATTTAAAGAACAATTAACCTTGTTGCTATGGCAAGAAAGCATTAAAAATTCATTTAAAGAACAATTAACCTTGTTGCTATGGCAAGAAAGCATTATAAATTCATTTAAAGAACAATTAACCTTGTTGCTATGGCAAGAAAGCATTAAAAATTCATTTAAAGAACAATTAACCTTGTTGCTATGGCAAGAAATCGTTACAAATTCATTTATAGAACAATAAACCTTGTTGCTATGGCAAGAAAGCATTTAGATTTCATTTATAGAACAATTAACCTTGTTGCTATGACAAGAAAGCAATAAAAATTCATTTATAGAACAATTAACGTTGTTGCTACGACAAAAAAGCATTAAAATTCATGTATAGAACAATAAACCTTGTTGCTATGGCAAGAAAGCATAAAAAAAATATTTATAGAACAATAAGCCTTGTTGCTATGGCAAGAAAGCATTAAGATTTCATTTATAGAACAATTAACCTTGTTGTTATGGCAAGAAAGCATTAAAAATTCATTTATAGAACAATAAACCTTGTTGCTATGGCAAGAAAGCATTTAGAATTCATTTATAGAACAATTAACCTTGTTGCTATGGCAAGAAAGCATTAAAAATTCATTTATAGAACAATTTACCTTGTTGCTACGGCAAGAAAGCATTAAAAATTAATTTATAGAACAATAAACCTTGTTGCTACTGCAAGAAAGCATTTAGAATTCATTTATAGAACAATAAACCTTGTTGCTATGGCTAGAAAGCATTTAAAATTCTTTTATAGAACAATAAACCTTGTTGCTATGGCAAGAAAGCATTTAGAATTCATTTATAGAACAATTAACCTTGTTGCTACGGCAAGAAAGCATTAAAAATTCATTTATAGAACAATTCACCTTGTTGCTACGGCAAGAAAGCATTACAAATTCATTTATAGAACAATAAACCTTGTTGCTACTGCAAGAAAGCATTTAGAATTCATTTATAGAACAATTAACCTTGTTGCTATGGCTAGAAAGCATTTAAAATTCATTTATAGAACAATTAACCTTGTTGTTATGGCAAGAGAGCATTTAGAATTCATTTATAGAACACTAAACCTTGTTGCTATAGCAAGAAAGTATTAAAAATTCATTTATAGAACAATTTACCTTGTTGCTATGGCAAGAAAGCATTAAAAATTCATTTATAGACCAATTAACCTTGTTGCTATGGCAAGAGAGCATTAAAAATTCATTTATAGAACAATTAACCTTGTTGCTATGGCAAGAAAGCATTAAAAATTCATTTATAGAACAATTAACCTTATTGCTATGGCAAGAAAGCGTTAAAAATTCATTTAAAGAACAATAAACCTTGTTGCTACGGCAATAAATGGTTAAAAATTCATGTATAGAACAATAAACCTTGTTGCTACGGCAAGAAATGGTTAAAAATTCATTTAAAGAATAATAAACCTTGTTGCTACAGCAATAAATGGTTAAAAATTCATTAATAGAACAATAAACCTTGTTGCTATGGCAAGAAAGCATTCAAAATTCATTTAAAGAACAATTAACCTTGTTGCTATGGCAAGAAAGCATTAAAAATTCATTTAAAGAATAATTAACCTTGTTGCTATGGCAAGAAAGCATTAAAAATTCATTTTAAGAACAATTAACCTTGTTGCTATGGCAAGAAATTGTTAAAAATTCATTTATAGAACAATAAACCTTGTTGCTATGGCAAGAAAGCATTAAAAATCCTTTTTATTTATACAATTTACTATGTTAGTATGGTGAAGAAGGCATTTAAAATTCGTTTATAGAACAATTGATCATGTTGCTATGGTAAAGAAAAGCATCAAAAATTCATTTTATAGCAATTTACTGATGTGATGCAAAAAGTGTTGGTCTTCAAAGTTTATTTTTAAAACAATTTACTCTGTTGCAATAGTGAAGGAAAGTCTTCAAAGTTTATTTTTAGAACATTTTACTATGATGTTATTTGATAAAGTAAAGGCTTCAAAGTTTATTTTTAGAACATTTTACTCTGTTGCTATGGTGAAGGAAAGTCTTCAAAGTTTAATTTTAGAACACTTTACTCTGTTGCTATGGTGAAGGAAAATCTTCAAAGTTTAATTTTAGAACACTTTACTATGATGCTATTTGATAAAGAAAAGAAAAATAAAGTCTTCAAAGTTTATTTTTAGAACAAATTACTATGTTGCTTTACTAAAGAAAGTCTTCAAAGTTTATTTTTAGAACAATTGAATATGTTGCCATAGTAAAGAAAAGTCTTCAAAGTTTATTTTTAGAACAAATTATTAACTATGTTGCTATACTACAGTATGTCTTCAAAGTTTATTTTTAGAACAAGTAACTATGTTGCTATGATGAAAGAAAGTGTTCAAAGTTTATTTTTAGAACAAATGACTATGTTGCTATACTAAACAAGAGCTGTCCGTAAGACAGCGCGCTCGACTTTTTTATTGCTTGCCAATAAAAAAAGTTTTTGCAGTAAAAGGCAATACAAGAATCTCTGTATTTTTAAAGTGAACAATGGCCATGAGCATTAAGATATTTAGTGAAGAATTATTTTACTGAATTGTGTGATACCCTTGAACACTGCAGCAAAGTTTGAAATGTTTAAGTCAAAAGAGGGCTGGTAAGAAAGAAAAAAAAACTGAGTTGAGCCTTTTATGGTAAAGTGAACAAGTGGATAGGAATGAATTTTTTTAGATTTTTTAAGTTTTTTAGTGCTTGCCTATAATACAAAACATTGACAGTTAAGGGCCATAATTCAAATAAAATCTTTGACAGAATTACCTTCTCCTGGACATGTTTGGGAATCATGATTGTAAACAAGTATTCCAACTTTCAAATTAATATCTCAAACAGTTCAGTCAAAAAGTGGACTGGTACTAAAAACTTAACCAAGATTCTAAGTCGATAAAAGGCCTTAATTTTTAAAACAAATCCTTGACAGAGTTACCTTCTCTTGCGTACAGATGGGGGTAATGATGTGAAGTAGCATTAAAAGTTTCAAAGCAATATCTCAAAGGGTTAAGGCAATAAGTGGATTTTACCCATATTCAATGTATTTTCTAAGTCAAAAAGGGGCATAATTCTGTCAAAAACCTTGACAGAGTTATGTCCTCTTGTCTGTTGATGAAGGTCGTGATGGTAAACAAGTATGGTCAGTTTCAAAGCAATACCTCCAATGGTTTTGAAATAAAGTGAGGTGGTACAAAAAACTTAACCAAGCTCAATACACTTTCTAAGTCAAAAAAGGGCCATAATTCTGTCAAAAACCTTGACAGAGTTATGTACTCTTGTCTGTAGATGGAGGTTATGATGGTGAACAAGTATGGTAAGTTTCAAAGCCATACTTGTAATACTTCTGAAATAAAGTGGGGTGGTACGAAAAACTTAACCAAGGTGTGACGCCGACGCCGACGCCGGGGCGAGTAGGATAGCTCCCCTTTTCATAGAAAAGTCGAGCTAAAAAGTCTTCAAAGTTTATTTTTAGAACAATTAATTATATTGCTATGATAAAGTAAAGTCTTCAAAGTTTATTCTTAGAGCAAATTACTATGTTGCTATAATAAAGTAAAAATTGTAAAAGTTTATTTTTAGAACAATTTACTATGTTACTATGGTGAAAGAAAGTCTTCAATGTTTATTTTTAGAACAATTAATTATGTTGTTATGATAAAGTAAAGTCTTCAAAGTTTATTTTTAGAACAATTAATTATGTTGCTATGATAAAGTAAAGTCTTCAAAGTTTATTTTTAGAACAATTAACTATGTTACTATGGTGATGGAAAGTCTTCAAATTCTATTTTAAAAACAATTAACTATGTTGCTATGATAAAGTTAAGTTTTCAAAAACTATTTTAGAAGAATTTTCTATGTTGCTTTGATGATATTTATAAAACAATTAACTATGTTGCTATGGTGAAGGAAAAGCTTCAAAGTTAATTTTTTAGAACAATTAACTCTGTTGCTATCATAAAGTTAAGTCTGAAAAAAAATATTTTTAGCACAACTTACTATGTTGCTATGAATAAGAAAAGCCTTCAAAAGTTAATTTTAGAACAATTAATTATGTTGCTTTGTTGACGTAAAGCCTGAAAAATTTATCTTTAGAACAATTAACTACGCTGCTATGATAAAGTAAAGTATTCAAAAGTAATTATAGCACAAATTTACTATTGTTATGATATATTTCAGCTCTCAAAAACAATTTTTAGAACAATTTACTACGTTACCATGATAAAGGCCTCCAAAGTATATTTGTAGTACAGAAACCTATGTTGCTATACTAAATGAAAGTCTTCAAGTTATTTTTAGACTAATGAACTATGTTGCTATGGAAATGAAAAGTCTTCAAAGTTATTTTTAGAACAATTGAATATGTTACTATGGTGAAGTGAAGTATTTAAAGTTTATATTTAGAGCAATTTACTATGTTGCTATGATAAAGGAAAGTCTAGTCTGCAAGGTTAATTTTTAGAACAATTAACAATGCTGCACTGGTGAAGATGAAAAGTCTACAAAGTTTATTTTTAGAACAATTGAATACATTGCTTTGGTGTAGTAAAATCTTCAAAGTTTATTTTTAGAACAATTAACTATGTTGCTATGTTAAAGTAAAATGGTCAAAGTTTATTTTTAGAACAATTTACTTTGTTGCTATGATAAAAGTTAAGTCTTTAAAGAACATTTTTAGAACTACATGTTTTATATTGCTAATGTAAAGATTAGTCTGAAACAATCAATTTTATAACTATTGACTTTGTTGCTATGGTGTTGTAAGATTTAAAAGATCAATTTTAGAACAACCAGCTATGTTGCTGTTGCAAAGGATAGACTTCAAAGTTTTTTTCTATTCTCTTTATTTTTTCAAAATATTTTACTGTACTGCTATGTTGAAGGAAAATTCTTTTAAAACTATCGTATATTGATATTTTAAATTTAATAAGCAAAATTTTATCCAAATGCTTAGCCTATGGAAAATTTTTACTGAAATTCATCATGCTGCCATGGAAATTACTTGCTTATACACTGTAGATTTGATACAGAAAATGGAAAATAGAAATTTCAGTGAAAAAAACAGTTACTTATTTGTTACTTATAGGGAACAAGTCTTTAATGCTAAAAACAAAAACAAAAACAATTATTTAATGTGTCTCAGGAAGGGTCACACTTTGAGGGTTCATTCAAATCGACTGAAGATTAAAACCAGTTTAAAATAAGAATTATACCTTCTTTTCTTTTGTCTGTGGTATCAAAGGGAGCATTATTCCAAAATTTTCATTCATCACCGGTCTATTTTGTTGACTATGTGGGTTGTATACAGCCCTTAAAGCCAGTGTCTGCTTGCTCTGTTGTCCTGGGCTCAAGCCTTGAAGTTCCCGGAAGGCCCCCCTTTACGTAAAGGCCGGGAGGGCAACCTTTAAAGGGTTTGGGGGCTGTCTCATTTTTGTCTCTTGAAAAAAAAACCCGGAGAAAAAATTTAAAAGAAAATTTTCAAAAAAACAAAAAACAGAAATATTTAAAAATTATTTATCCCCATACCCTCCCCATTTTGCAACCCCAAATTTTAAAACCGTTTTAAAGTCCAAGTGCTTTATATTTTGACAGGTTTCTTTTTTGGTTATAAAAAACAAATGTAAAAGGGGTTTAATTTTTTAGCTTTACACAATAGGCGCATCATTGAAAAAGTTGATTCATTTTCACTTAAAACACTTTTTATTTTGGATATGTGATGAATAGAATATCATATTTGTGTAGGTTCGTTAAAGAATTTATTGAACTCTTTAAATAAAATAATATCATGCTCGCCAGAGGCTTGCAATAATAATTTATATAATTTTATTCAACTTGTTCAATAAAATTCAGTATTGAACTTACACTCATTCAATATTCTCTATGTAAAAAAATAGCACAAATACATCAAAAATTTTTTTACCTTGGTACATATGACTGGCTCATGTCTATTCTCTGTTGACCACGGGTCTGTCGTTTGAGGTCCCATGTTGACTCAAGGGCCATAAACCCAGGTGCCTGGATAGCATCAGCACTTGGCAGGGTCTGCACCTGGTTGTTAAGCTGGCTAAGCATCTGCTCTGCTTTTTGCTGAAAAAAAAGGTGAATTACCCAGATGTATAATATTATATCATTTTGAAATACATTGCTGCTTTCATTTTAATGAAACTTCGTTATTGAAAAACAGTGTTGCTTTTATCTTTTAACTTTTCTAAGATTTAAGTTTTTTTATCTTTTTTAAGATTTAAATGATGCATTTCTGATATAAATAGAACAATTCAGATTTTAGAAATAAAAGATGAATTTCATGTTCATTTTGACAGTCCACAAAAAGAGAAATCTTCAAAATAACGGGCCCCTGATGATGGGCAAAAGATTTGACTTTTTCTCGGGTTTTAAAAGGGTTAAGGGGGCCCAAAAATTCCCTGCCCAAAACCCCTTTTTTGGGAGTGATAGGCCTTTGGCCAGTGCCCCCCTATTATGTTCTAAATAAAAGTGTGTGAAAGTTTTAACCCTTTTCGGGGGCATTAGTTTTGGAAATACTGACTTCAGAAAAAATTTAACCAATTTTTTTTGTGGAAAATCCCCCGGGGGTGAATAAAATTTTGTTCCCATATTTTTTTTTCAAAAAAATTTCAAAGGCTAAAAATTTTTTTGTAATGGGGTTAACCTGAAAAAAAAGCTGACACAAAATTCACAACCTTGCCTCACCCCAAAACTTTTGCCCAAAACCATTAAATTCATAAATCATTAAAAAGGCTTTAGAACATAGAAAAAATGGACTACAGAATAACTGCTCCAATTATCTTTGGAAATTTGATCAAATATAAATGACTTTAGGTTTCCTAGCCTGTGACCATTGCTTTTGTACATTAGTAATCATACGAAAATAACTTCCTTCAATTCAGGATTGATTTTTTACCTGGTATAAGCCCAATTACAGTCCCCTGATATGAATTTGGCCTGTCAGCAAATTATTAATTTATAAATTAAATGATGCCTTTTGTATAGCATGAATTAAAACTTCAAGGTTTTAAAAATGACTTTTTCAATTACATTATTATAACATGTTAAAATCTACCTTAAGTCAGAGTACCTGCAATATGGTATTATTACCCATTATACAAGTATAAAAAATTACCAAATATCATGAAAATTATAGTGAAACAAAGATAATATTTTTGAATATTAATTTATTTCTTACAGTTTTTACTGCTTGCAATTAGTTTACAAAAATTAATACATCATGTTCATTTGACCTGATGGCAAAAAAAGAACAAACTGGCCTAATGGCACAGAAGTACAAACTGGCCTAGTGGCAAAAAAGTACAAATTGGCCTAATAGCGCAGAAGTGCAAACTGGTCTAATGGCAAAAAAGAACAAACTGGCCTAATGGCACTGCTGAAAAATAACTGATTTGTTGGCTTAGAAGTGAAACCTGGCCAATCGGCTTAGAAGAGCAAACAAGTCTGTAGGTAAAGAGGAACAAACTGGCCAAATAACATAGAAGTGCAAACTGGCCCAATGGCAAAAAAGTACAAACTGACCTTATGGCAAAAAAGTACAAACTGGCCTAATAGCACAGATTCGTACAAACTGACCTGATGGCACAGAGGAGCAAACTGACATGATAAGTGAATAATAACTGGCTTGAACCATTACATTTAACATATCATTATCACTTACAGCAAGCAGTCAAAACATTAATCTCTTTCATTATCAAAATATTTACCTGAAGACCTTGTTCTGTTTTGTTGAGGGCATTTTCCAACTCCTCAATAGTAATACCTTTGCCATCACCTTTGTTTGTTAGATTCTCCCTCAACTGTCTGATATCATCTTGTACCTGCAAAAGTAAATGATACAAATATTCACACATTGTGTTTTCATTTTTATTACCAAAAAAAAATCTTGGAGGTTTTCCCAAAATATCTGAAATTTCAGATTCTGCAAAGTGATGATTTATGTACCTCTCATTTAATACCTTTCTGAAAATAATGGGTTTGTATTCCTTTGAATTTGAAACAGTTCATAAAACTTTTTTGAAGATTCAGCAGTTATTTCAACTTTCTGTTATCTCTTATGAACAGACCAAGTCTTTGTTTTTTTTATTTTATTGTGCTAGAGTGATTTCCCTTTCCAAAGTCTTTTATCCTCACACAGTCGGCCCTGTACAGTTGGCTATATAATATAGTATCACAAACAAATAAGACTATATCACAATCATATTAAAAAGTTAATTGACTTGGATGGTCTTTAAGAATTTTACACTATTTTCAGTAATAATGATTAAGTGTTATTAAAGATCTTATTAATATAATACATGTAATACCAAGATAAAAACCAATTGTCAGTTATATTAAATATATTAAAGAAATCTATTTGTTATAACAATTCTATTCAACATGACTGTTGTTGCATAATGAAAAATTTATACAAATAGAATCAATTCTGTTAAAATTTCATTTTTCAAAATTCAAAATTGCTTTTTTGAATATTCAGTTCTTGCAATAATGAGCCAAAATGCTAATATCCAATATGATCAATAACAAAAATATTTAACTATTATACTTACTTTATATAGAATGTTTTAATGACAATATTTATAATAGTTTGAAATATTGTCAATATTGATTCAGGCCATAATTCTATTTCAGGCAGTCATAAAAAATCAATTAAGTTTAAAACTTTAAACATAAAAAAGCTTTTCCTTAATGAAAAGGGTACAAAATTTTTTATAATCCCAAATTTAAATTTAAGTCAAGACAAAAAATTTAATTTAAATCCCCAATATCTTAAATGACCCTTCCATAAAAAAAAAGCCCCGGGGATATTAACCCAAAATGGTGACGACCTTTTTGTTCAAAGTGGGCAATTTTTAACCATTTAGCAATTGGACCAGTGGGGAAACCCTTTTTTTATTTAATAATTTTTTTTGGGGCCTTTTTTTCATTTTTAATTTTATATTTGAATTTTTTTCCCTTCAAACGTGTTGGAAGCATAACGTTTTTTGGGAAACACCCTTTTTTTCGTTCCGGAGCTGCAACAGAGTTTTTAAAAAATATAAAGTTCTTGTTCAAGGAAAAAAGGTTTTGCCACTGATGGGGTTTGAACCAACTCTTCAAGCAATCCTTAGATTACTAGTCTGACTCATTAACCACTTGGCAATGCCACCACATTACATTTTTAAGTATTAGATTCAGAAATCCCATACAAAACTGCTAAAGTGGCATTATTTCAAAAAATAATTTTCAGGTTCTCAACAACAAATTGAGCCAGGCATAGATTTATAACAGATATATTTCTCTTTTTTTTTTTTGCACCGCGCATTAACTTACAACAAAAAAAGATTATATGCATGATTATAAGTTAAATAATTCAAATTGTATGAATTTTTTTTTATTCTAATTAATTCAGCCTATTGAAAAATCTATTTACCAAAGGTATTTAAGAACATCATGTAGAGTTTTACTGAATGGTACTATGTCCAACATTATGCTTTACTTTAAATCTGGCTTTAATTCAAAATGTGTATCTTTTATCTACAATATGTACTCTGTAAACTCTGTAAAAAGATTTTTAAATCACTTTTTTTTTAAAGGGAAATTTCATGCGAATAGGGTAAATTTTTTAAAAACAAATAAAAAAATTGGCTTAAAAAAAGTGGGTCACTGGTGTGAATTTTTTAAAAAGACGAAAAAAAAAACAAATGCTTTAAAACAAAATCACAAAACATTTTTAATATTAAAAGCAGGAAACTGTCACAAAACCCATGTTTTTTAACCAAATATTAAAAACACTGTTTATTGGGAAGTGAAATGAAAAATTTTTTAAAAAGAAATCCTACAAAGTATATACATCTGGGCTGAATCAAAATTTAAAAAATTTTTTAATCATATACAACCCGGGAAAAATATTTTTAGTTTAAATGAGAAACAATTCTTAAATTTAAAAAAATCTCAAGTTTTTGGATTGTAAATTTTAAAAACAAAAAAAAAAAATACTACGAAACATGTTAGGGCATTTAAAAATTTTTATTAAATTTTAAAACAAAACAAAATTTTAAATATCAAAAAAAAGCCCTTTCCAAATTTCAAATGAGAGGTTTTTCCCTTAAAGGGGAAATGTTTTATTAGTATTTTTGTTTACAAACCATCAATGAAATTTAAAAAATTCTTACACTTAATAAAACATGCTTTTATTAAAATTTAATTTCTTTTTCCAATAAACAGAAAAGTTTTTTTTACCAATTTTAGTTAAATTATTTTTGGGATTTTTTTTTTCATGAACTTTTTTTTAACAATGCATAGACTATTGCATCTTAAAAAGGAATTATAAAAAGGCCAAAATTTTAAAAAAACTAAAAAACATTCTTGAAAAATTGGGTAAAAGGACATTTTTTTCCCCAAAATTGTAAATTTTTCCAAAAATTTTGTGAAAACCTTGGGAAAAGTTAAAAATAGTTGGCCCCTTGGGGAAAAAAAAAGGGTTAGGGAAAACCTTTTTTTTCAAAATTTTTTAAAAAAAAATTTTTGCCCCGGAAATTTTTAAAACATTGAGTTCATTGGGGAAAATTTTTTTTAAAAATTTTTTTGACCCTTGGCGGAAAAAATTTTTATATATAATTTAAAAAAAGGGGGCATTTAAAATAATTTTCATTTTTCTTTTAAATTTAAAAAATTTTTGGGGGAAAACAATGAAAAATTTTAATGGTTTCCAAAAAGGGGAAAACCTAACAGAAAATTCAGGAATCAAATTTTTAACTTCTTTTTAACCAATTTGGGTAACAATTTAAATGCTATAAATTTGGAAAAAAACTGAAAAATGACCATTTAAATAAAAATGTAAAATAAACAGTGGCATTTCTAAAGATTTTTACATTAGGCCAAAACCCAGGGGAACCTAAACAAAAAACCCAATTTTAAGGTTGCCAATAACGGGAACTGAACATTTAAAACTTTTAAAAGTAGAATTAACACAGGGAAACCCTTTAAACAGTACCCAAATTAACATTGGCCCCTAAACAAAAAACCAATTTTACAGGGGTAACAGGGGCCCGGGAAAAAAATTTACTGAAATTAAAAGGCCCCAAACAAAAACCAAATTTTAAAAGTAACCCAAAACAGGGTTTTTGAACGGGTGAACACTTTAAAAAATTGGGGCCAATAAACGGGGAAATTGACAAAAAAACCCACTTATAAATTGAAAAAAAACAAAAACATAAAACCCCCTTTAAAATGTGCCAATAAAAAAGGGACCCCAAAAACATTTAAACATTTTAAAAAATTGCCAAAAAAGGGAACACTAACAGTAAAACAACAAGTTGCCAAAAAACAGGGTTTTTAAAAATAAACCATTTTAAAAAAATGTCCTTTAAAAAGGGAAATTTAAAAAACCTTTTTACAGTTGAAAATTAAAACAGGGAAACTAACAGAAAACCACCTTAAAATGTCCAATAAAAAGGGGACTAAACAAAAAACCCTTTTTAAAAATTGAAATTAAAAAAAAGGGAAAACTACAGTAAACTTTAACAGTTCCCTTTTAAAACAGGGGGAACTCTTTTAAAAAGTGTCCCAAATTAAAAGGGGAACTGAAAAATAAACCTCTTTACATTCGGGAAATTAAAAGGGGGAACTAAAACAGTAAACCATTTAAAAGTGTGCCTTTAAACAGGGCACTGAAAAAAAGTAAACCACTTTTAAACCTCACTGGGATTTGGGAAAAAGAAAAACGAAACATTTTGTCTTTAAAATGAAAAAAGGAACAAGTGAAAAATTTTCAAAAATGTACAAAAAACATAAACAATGGCACCATTTTTTGTTTTCTATAAAAAAATGAAAATAAATGAAAAAAACCAAAAAAATTTAACTAATGTTAAAAAGTCATGAGAATTTAAAAAACCATTTTAAAACTTTAAAAATTTTAAAAAAAATAAAATTTTAAAAAAACAATCCCCTTTTATTAAAATAAATTTTTTTAAATTTTTGAGAAATTTGATAATTATAAATTATTTTTTTTAAAAATTTAAAATTTTTACACCCAACAAAACAAAATTTTTTTTAAACCAATTTAAAAAATTTTAAAGTACTTTTTGAGGGCCTTTAATTTAAACCTATTTTAATTTTTGGGAAAACTTTGAATCCCGGAAAATTTTTTTTTCCTTTGTAATCTCCCCCTGTAAGGGCGTTCAAAGAAAAAAGGGCAGCCTTTCTTGCTTACGACATTTTTCTTACCCTTTAAACCAAAAATTTTAAAATTAAAATTTCTGTTTATTTGATAAATTAACCCCAAACCCGGTTTTAAACAAAAATTTTTTAAAATAACTTTTTCCAACTTTAGAAAATTTCAAAAAAATTTTTAACTTTTAATTATTTTACAAAAAATTGTCAAATTCTCGGTAAAATTTTATTAATATCCCTGGAGGGAAAAAACACTTTTTTCACTTTTCCCAAATTTAGTTTTAATAATTAACAATGAAACCTGAATTTTAAAATATTTTAAAAACTCCTCAGGGATAATTTTGAAAAAATTCCCAAAATTTTATTTTTTTTTTCCCAAATTGTTGAAAAAATTTTATATAACAAAACAAACTTTTGTTTTTTAATACAAAAATTTTTTTAATTTTAATATTATTAATATTTAATAAAATTGTTTTAAATTTTGTTTTTATTATTTAAAAAAAACTTTTTTAAAAATTTTTTTGTTTTCCCCCAAACTTAAAATTCAAATTTTTAAGATCCCAATTTACTTTAAAAATTTTCCCCAAAATTAAACACAAAAAGTCGGTAATTTTAAAATAAAAAATTTCCCACCAAATTTTTGTTTTGTCCAGTTTCTGTTTAAACC